CCTCGCTCAGCCAAGTCGATGAGGTAACTATTTATAATATTTCAAATCAAAAGTAATAAAAAAAATTGTCAGCCCTTCCCGATGTGCATGTCTTAAAGAATGATCTTATTCCTAGTAATGTACCATGTCGGGTCGACCTCCACGCGGTTACATCTGGAACCATCATGATAAATTCCTGGTGTATTTATCACGATATGCTAACTGGCCTGACCTCATGTTCTTATCATCCTCCACTGGTGCCCCGCCAGCGTATGCCGTCAGCGCAGGCGGGTGCACCATTACACTATCATCCGTAAAAATGAACCCACGACCATAGAAAGTAAGACAATGTACTAAACCGATAGACCACCGCGGCCGTCTTCCGAAAATATATCTTATTTCTTTAATATCTTATTATTTATATTATTATGTATTTATACTTACTTATATTTAACTAGCTGTACCCGCGACTTTGTCCGCGTGTATTTAACTTTCATTTTCTAAAATAAAAGTAGCCTAACTCACTCTATATTACATCAACTACCTGCTAATAAAAGTCTCGTCAAAATCGGTCCAGCCATTTCAGAGATTAGCCGGAACAAACAGACAGACAGAGATACAAAAATTGAAAAAAAAATATTTTGGTGTATATACCGTATTTATATTCATATGAATTATTAGATAAAAAACAGTTATTTCAATATTACAAACAGACACTCCAATTTTATTTATATGTATATAGATAATGGGAAATTAGATGTTAAAATACCAAAAGAACCCGACTCTCTTGGTATTTTAACATCTAATTTCCCATTATCTATATACATAAAATTTCCTGAAAAAAAAATGCAATTTCATATATTAAATATTTTGTCCTTAATAACGCTGGGATATAATTAAATTAAATACTCATGGAAAAGTTTAATTGCGAAGCGAACCATAGTGTACGCTGCTATCAACGCTCTATAATTTATTTATGGTATCATTTTTTATTTACAGCCAGCTATTTTTGTATATAGCTGAATGCGACTTCCTTTGCCTTTTTTTGTTTTTATTCAGTAGGGCTGTCACGTTTCCTTATTATATAGTTACCACTTAATGTATTTATATTATTTTAATTCCGCTCTTCCGTCATATGGGAATGCCCTACCTTCAAAACCAACCAGGCAAAAATAATTTTAAAAAGTCGTTATGTTATGAGGATTTCGAGTTCTTGCTAGACATTTATAAAAAAAAAATAACAAAAACGTACAAATTGACCATAGTCGATAAGCATTTGTTAAGACTGATATTCTGGGGAGAGTAGAGTCGCTATCGGTTATCGTTTGGTAATGGAGTAGGGACTAGACTAGGGGGCCCTAATTATATAAATAAATATATTAAAGTATATTAAAAAAGGAACAAAATACTTATTGAACACCATTTTCGCTCGCCCCAGCAAACCACGCACGGTCAATCTTCGGTAGTTCACTTCATGTTGTTCTAAAAGTTTGGTATTCTCAGCTTTACCTTTGTGTTTAGCTTGGAAAAATCTGCAGAATTTGGTTGTTGCAGGGTTTAACATTACGATTTTTTCTTTATTTGGTCAAGGCTAGTGGCCTTGACCAAATAAAGAAAAAATCGTACGCGGTAAAATTTTACGCGGATGAAGTCACGGGCACAGCTAGTGTCTTAATAAAGGAACAAAATACTCACTGAAGAACACCATTTTCGCTCGCCCCAGCAAACCACGCACGTTCAATCTTCGGTAGTTCACTTCATGTTGTTCTAAAAGTTTGATTTTCTCAGCTTTACCTTTGTGTTTAGCTTGGAAAAATTTGCAGAATTTGGTTGTTGCAGGGTTTAACATTACGATTTTTTTTTTATTTGGTCAAGGCTCGTGGCCTTGACCAAATAAAGAAAAAATCGTACGCGGTAAAATTTTACGCGGATGAAGTCACGGGCACAGCTAGTGTCTTAATAAAGGAACAAAATACTCACTGAAGAACACCATTTTCGCTCGCCCCAGCAAACCACGCACGTTCAATCTTCGGTAGTTCACTTCATGTTGTTCTAAAAGTTTGATTTTCTCAGCTTTACCTTTGTGTTTAGCTTGGAAAAATTTGCAGAATTTGGTTGTTGCAGGGTTTAACATTACGATTTTTTTTTTGGTCAAGGCTCGTGGCCTTGACCAAATAAAGAAAAAATCGTACGCGGTAAAATTTTACGCGGATGAAGTCACGGGCACAGCTAGTGTCTTAATAAAGGAACAAAATACTCACTGAAGAACACCATTTTCGCTCGCCCCAGTAAACCACGCACGTTCAATCTTCGGTAGTTCACTTCATGTTGTTCTAAAAGTTTGATTTTCTCAGCTTTACCTTTGTGTTTAGCTTGGAAAAATCTGCAGAGTTTGGTTGTTGCTGGGTTCAACAGTGCGTTCAAATTTAACTGCAGTAGGTCAGACGTGAGGTATATGAGATACAGCGAAATTAACACCCTAACCTGACCCACAGACCTAATCTATTTACGGTACATGAGGTCCAAACGCGCAGAAAATAAACTCGCCGAGTAAATTTGATGTTACCGACCTCTAGCGGTATAGCATACCGTTTTACATCCTATGGTCGCGGGTTCGATTCCTCGCACCGTGCAAACTTTTGTATTCATGAGTATGCTGTTTTGAGTCTTTTCTATGTATGTTATATATGTAAGTATTTATATCCGTTGTCTAGTACCCATAACACAAGCTTTAGCTAGCTTAACTTGGAACTAGATGGCGCTGTGTGAATTGTCCTGATATTATTATTATTAATTAGCTGTGCCCGAGGTTTCACCTGTTATTTACTGTAAAGTTTCATCAAAATCCGTTCAGTAGTTTTTGCGTGAAAGAATAACAAACATCCATCTATACTCACAAACTTTTGCGTTTATAATATTAACTAGCTACTCGCCCCGGCCTCGCCCGGGTGTACATGTATCATATATATAAACCTTCCTCTTGAATCACTCTAATCTATTAAAAGAAACGCTTCAAAATCCGTTGCATAGTTTTGAAGATGTAAACATACATAGGGACGAACAGACAGCGACGGCGACTTTATTTTATGATGATAAGATATGTGATTTTAGGCTACTTCATCCAAAGCCACAAGAAACTGTCTGTAGTGCAGGCAATTGTATCCATTAAAACCCAATTGATTTACAATTTTCTACTCTAAGTTTAAAGAAATGAGTACGACAATACAAAGTTGGTACTAGTTCCATCACCTTGCAAGTCTCCGTGATAGGTGTGCCAACCTACATTTTTATATATGAATTCTGTTGCTTAATAATTCAATGTTTAGTGCGTGGGCAGCCCTACGATGGTACGACAGACTCGCCCCTACTACGATCCCCACTCGGTGTCAGTACACACTCGATCCTTACTCGTTTGTTTTGGGAATTATTTATTTATTTATACACTTTGTTTTGGAAATAGGAGATTTAGGTAATAGAGAAATTATCTATACCTACAAATAAAATTTTAGTGTCTGTTTGTAATTGAAATAACCGTTTTTACTATATGCATATGAATATAAATACGGTACATACACCAAAATAACATTTTTTTAAAGTTTTGTCTGTCTGTGTGTTCCGGCTAATCTCTGAAATGGCTGGACCGATTTTGACGGGACTTTTATTGGCATGTAGCTGATGTAATGAGGAGTAACATAGTCTCCTTGTATTTTAGAACAAAACAGTCCCCAACAATACTACTAAAATAGCATGCATGTATACATCAGCTAAAAGCGTTAGCTTATGTACGCGCTCGTACTAGAATTTATGTACACGTTAAACATTAGGAATTTTAGCCGTCTTTTCTTCTTCGTTTCAACGGCAACCAAATATATTTATTTAAATATATTTTCCCCAGAACGCTGCGACAACCCTAGCGCACTCCGTCGCATCCCTTAGGTCCCCCTTTGTGCAGACTGCTGGGCACAAATGACAAGCCAGCAGGTGTGCCATAGTCTGTGATGGCGCTCCGCAGTCACAAGCCTCCCTTAAAGCGGCACCCCACTTTACCAAGTTGTACCTGCAGCGGCCCATCTGGGTTCGTAGTCTGTTGAGCGATTTCCAAATGGGCCAATGCAGGTCGCTACCTGGGGGCAGGTGTTCGATTGGTTGAATAAAGTCCAAAGGAGCAGGATGATTTAACTTCCATAAGTCTACTTTGGCTTTATGTGGGTCGTTGGTCGTTTGCCGTGAAAATGTGACAATCAGGAGAAGTGATAACGAAGTGAGATGTAATCTGATTTTCGAGACCACGGTACTGGTCTCGTCTTTGCACGACATTTCAATGTTGCCATTATTACGAACTTCCACTTTAACAGGCAGTGTAATGTAAATATAAAGAAATAATTTGTTTTACATAATTATTATTGTTGATTTAAATAATACGTTTATGTAATTAGTTTTATTTTCGGACTAGTCTAAAGCTGTAAGCCGCAGCTGGCCTTTATAGCTTCACCGGATGGTATGGGACGAGTGCAGATCCCCCTCCCCTTCTTTTGGTTTGCAGACACTACAAACCAAAAGAAGGGGAGGGGGGTCGTTGGTCAGGTTGACCTCCACCGGTAACCGCGTCCCCCTGGAAGCGATCGTGATAAATTACTTGTCAATTTGTCACTAACTAATCTGACCTCATCTTCATCTTATCAACCTCCACTGGTGCCCCGCCAGCGTATACCATTAGCGCAGGCGGGTGCACCATTCTATTATCATTTATTAAATAAAAACATAATTTATATATTTTTTTAGTGGTGCGGCTATCAACATAGTAATAAAAATAGTTAATCGTTAGTAAATCTGAAAATTTAGTCTATATATATCTAAATTTTTTATTAGCAACAATATAGACAGATTTAATTTTAAAAAAAAGGTTTTATTTTTTTATTGCCAAATTGGTGGAAAATTTTATTGTAAATTTAAATTTTATACTGGCAACCCACTCAAAATGCGCCATTCCGTGGCCTGATACGTCACGAACCGACCGGCTGATATACACGCGCGTCGCGATCAAATACCAAAACAAATAAAACACAACCATATTACTCTCATAAATAAAGCTAAAAATACTTATTGTATTATACCTATGCATAGCTGTATGTGCAGTGTGTGATTTATTACTCTGTGCTTTGGAGATATGTGATTGTTATAAGTCAGTTTTTGATTCCAACTTTGAAAATTACGAACGGCGATGCAACGGTATTGGTGACCTACTTTGTGTGGTTTTAGTGCAGCGTGACGTCATCGCGTGTAGTGTTCGAAATTTGAAATTCGCAACATATAATTCAAATTTCGATTGTTTAGTGAGAACGAATTTATATTTGGAAGTAGTTTCCAGATGTGGTAATGTGGTATTTATTGTTTTTATTTTAATATTTCATTTAGTTACAACAGCTCAACGTTTTTTCTTATATTATTTAAACTTTTTAAAACAAAATTATTAATCTATTATAAATCTTACTTATACATGAAAAAAAATTTGATAGGCTACACGGTACATAATTTAATAAAAATATAAATAATAGAAGGTATACTACAAAACTATAAGTCCAATATAATAAATAGATATAAGTCCAATCTATTAAATAAAAAACAAATACACAGTTACTCGAAATTCATGTTAATTACTTGTCAAAGTTATATATTTTGTTTGTGTTTAGGCTGAATGGATACATGTCTTTTAACCAAATTTTTTTATGAAAAAATCATTGATATAGATTTAATTTAATTTGATATTAACGTAGACTAGGCTGTACGGTCTAAGGATCTTTGCCTGTTCCATCATTGAAAAGGAGATGGAGGAATATGGAAAAAAAAATAATTTCATATTAAAAATAAGTTTCTTGTTATCAAAGTAAATTAAAATTGAATTTTTATAACAACTATTTTACAATATCACAACTAAAAATAAGCACTGGAAACTATATTTCCAGCATTATTCTGAGGTGTGGTCCACATTGACCCTGTTTTTTAATGTTTGTAGATTATTCCTAATATATTTTATGCCATTATTATTGTGACAAAACAGTAAATTATATTGTATAATTTACTCAAATATGTTTGGGAGCCTTGTACATGAGGATAAAACATTCAAATCTATAGTATTTGCATACAAATATTATATAATCTAAATATACTATGCTGGTAAAGGGGATTATTAGTAATGTGGATTAAACCTTAAGATTTTTGTAGCAAAAGAAATAAATTTTTTAGTGGTCATTTTTGGATTTGAAGTAGGCACAAGAAAAATGCAAAAAAATTTGTATTGTACAGTTTTTGATATAACACATGTCCATCACAGTGGACATTGTTTTAATACATAATTACATACACATACACACACATATACACATGTGGAATCACCTTCCAGCAATGGTATATCCGAACCGATACAATATTGAAACCTTCAAGAAAAGAGCTTATTCCTTTTTAAAAGGCCAACATACTTGCAATTCACCTGGTGTTAGTTGCTCATGGGCGGCGGTAATCACTTACCACCAGGTGAGCCGCATGCTTGTTTGTCCTCTGTGTTATAAAAAAAAATGGTATAGAGTTTTATAAAAATAATAATATTCATAGTGATGCAATTCTAAAAAATGTAGTTATTATTATTAAACACATTTTTTAATAGTGAATGCAACTTCACTACTATTATTAACAAAACAAATTATGATAATGTAATGGTGCCCTAACCTGCGCTAACGGTATACGCTGGCGGGGCACCAGTGGAGGATGATAAGAACATGAGGTCAGGTCAGTTAGCACATCGTGGTAAATTCACCAGGAAATTATCACGATGGTTTATAGATGGAGCCACATGGATGTCAACCTGACATGGTACATTGTCAGTAATGAGATCATCGATGATTTCTTCTGTTAGCGCAGGTGGGTGTACCATTACATTATTAACAACAATATACCACGCTGAACAAATTGGTATAGAGTTTTATAAAAATAATAATATTCATTGTGATGCAATTCTAAAAAATATAGCTATGATTATTAAACACATTTTTCAATAGTGAGTGCAAACTTCACTACTATTATTAACAAAACAAATTATGATAATGTAATGGTGCCCTAACCTGCGCTAACGGTATACGCTGACGGGGCACCAGTGGAGGATGATAAGAACATGAGGTCAGGTCAGTTAGCACATCGTGACAAATACACCAGGAGGGGGGGGAAAGGGGATTGTTAGTAATGTGGACTGGTGACCTATTGCTAGCAATGTACCATGTCAGGTTGACCTCCACGCGGTACCCCCTGGAAACCATCGTGATAAATTCCTGGAGAATTTGTCACGATGGGCTAACTGACCTGACCTCATGCTCATCTTATCATCCTCCACTGGTGCCCCGCCAGCGTAAACCGTTAGCGCAGGCGGGTGCACCATTCCATTATCATCAATAAAAAAAAAATACACCAGGAAGGGGGGAAGGGGATTGTTAGTAATGTGGATTGATAACCCCATCACTAGCAATGTACCCTGTCGGGTCGACCTCCACGCGGTTCCCCCTGGAAACCATCGTGTTCAATTCCTGGTGAATTTGTCACGATGGGCTAACTGTCCTGACCTCGTGCTCCTCTTATCATCCTCCACTGGTGCCCCGCCAGTGTAAACCGTTAGCGCAGGCGGGTGAACCATTCTATTATTAAACCTCAAAAAAAAAAATACACCAGGAATTTATCATGATGGTTTCCAGATGGAACTGCGTGGAAGTCAACCTGACATGGTACATTGCTAGTGATGAGATCATCAGTCCACATTACTAACTTATAATATACATTAATTCCCAGGCTTAATTCTGTGTACCAAATCAGATAAGGAAGGTGTCACATATGTGGATGGTTATAAGGCCAGAGGAAGGCCGAGAAAGAGATGGATGGACTGTGTGAAAGATGATATGGTGAGAAAGGGAGTGAATAACGAGATGACTGCGAACAGAGATGAATGGAAGAGAAAAACATATTGTTAAATATGTAAAATTAAAGCAAAAGTCAAGTGCTTACAATATATCATCTATACATATAAATAAAATTGGAGTGTCTGTTTGGAATATTGAAATCACTCCGAACTGACGGTAGATTTGACATATCATAAGAGTCTGTAATAGACCTACATGAATAAAGATATTTGAATACGAGCTGAGTTTCTTGTCAGTTCTCATCTCGAAATCATTCCGAACTGACGGTAGATTTGACATATCATAAGAGTCTGTAATAGACCTACATGAATAAAGATATTTGAATACGAGCTGAGTTTCTTGTCAGTTCTCATCTCGAAATCATTCCGAACTGACGGTAGATTTGACATATCATAAGAGTCTGTAATAGACCTACATGAATAAAGATATTTTGAATTTGAAGTGTTAGCCAGTAAATAAATTAATGATTGACACTCGAGAACTAGATTACAAAACTGTTGGTTGAGAAGCCCGAAATAAATGCAGAAATGTTTTACGATGTGGAATTAAGACTTCCGGTTGCGCAGGCGCCGGCCGCCGCCACAGACTACGAAACTAGGGATGTGAATTATCGACCATTGTATTATCGACTCGCTGCACCTGCGATATCGTCCGCGTGGATTTTAATATTATTTTTCTAAATTAAATAATAATAATAATATATTTATTTGTCAGAATATGGTATGTACAATAGTGGTAATTATATCTATACATCTATACATATAAATAAAATTGGAGTGTCTGTTTGTAATATTAAAATAACCGATTTTTACTTCATACATATGAATATAAATATGGTATATACACCAAAATAATATTTTATACAATTTTTGTCTGTCTGTCTGTCAGTCTGTTTGTTCCGGCTAATCTCTGAAATGGCTGGACCGATTTTGATGAGACTTTTTGTGGCAGGTAGTTGATGTAATAAGGAGTAACTTAGGCTATTTTTATTTTAGAAAAATAAGGTTAAATTCCACGCGGCCGAAGTCGCGAATACAGCTAGTACATCTTATACATCAGAATAACATATAAGCTATTTTCACGCGGAATAAATCGCGAGTACAGCTAGTAAATAATTATAATAATCGAATACACAATTATCGATTACATAATAATCGAATTTGTTACAAATGTCACATCCCTATTTCAAATGAAACAAGCTTGTATACATCGTGATTAGCACAGTTATCTAGCGTATTACATCACTTGCTGATAATATGGGGTTCAAATTCCGTGCAAAACCCCCTCCGATAGATCCCTCCAATTCAAACGGGGACCGATGTTACGACGCCTTGAGCCGAGGTTTGAACCTAGCGGTGCCCTCAGACGTAGTATCCGTCAGGCGGGAGTTGGCCTTCAGCCGCTCCATAAGACCTTCCTTTGTTTGGAGTGACATCTGCACTCGCCCTATCGTCCGGTGAAGCTGTAAATAATCCAGTCAAAATGGACCAAAAAAAATGATAAGTTAGCCAAAATTCGTATATAGCTGAAAATTGCTATAGACATTAAATAACAACTTTTGTCTAAACTATTTTGACGATAATGTTTTCGGTTTCAGAGAAAAATGGAAAAACCTGAATTTTTGACCTTTGACCATGGATAAAAAACCTTTGTCCTTGGATAATGGCGAATTTTGGCTAACTTAAATATCTATTTGGACTGGACTAAAAGTCCAGCTGCGGACAGCATTATTGGCTAACTTAAATGTCTATTTGGACTGGACTAAAGGGCCAGCTACGGACACCATTATCGGCTAACTTAAATGTCTATTTGGACTGGACTAAAAGGCCAGCTGTGGACAGCATTATTGGCTAACTTAAATGTCTATTTGGACTGGACTAAAAGGCCAGCTGTGGACAGCGTTATCGGCTAACTTAAATGTCTATTTGGACTGGACTAAAAGGCCAGCTGCGGACAGCATTATTGGCTAACTTAAATGTCTATTTGGACTGGACTAAAAGGCCAGCTGCGGACAGCATTAGAGTAGTCCGACGTGCAAAACAAATATAAATAAATATACTGGGAGGAAAGGGACTATTACGGCTGGCAACGGCATTGAATTAGGGTAAAATAAATAAAATAACTTACCACACTTGAATTATGTATTTAGTGGTAGAATATATGATACAATGTAGCAAAACAATATAGTAAAAAATATACGTCAAAAATTGTATATAAAATATATAAGGTTTAAAAATAGAAATAACTATAAAAAGAGGTCTGTTGCCAACAGGGACAGTTAGTATAAATACTCTTTATTTTCTAAAAATTTTTTTTTTTTACAAATACTTAAGAAGTCCCTGAATTATAGTATATTTTATATTTATTATTATTATATTTCTATACCTGATATTCTATATCAGGTATAGAAAATAC